TTTAAATCAAATTTTTTCAAATTCTAAGTTAGTAGAACCATTAAATCCTTGTGTGTTCAAAATAATAAATACAATTTTATATTAAATACATAAAATAATCCATTTAAATTGTGAATAAATAATTGCATTGAAAAGGATATTTTTATTTGTTTGTTTTTTTTTTGAATTTTTTATACCTAAAATGCTTTATTTTTAGTCATGCTATTGTTGAAAAATCTTGTAAATATGGTGCCTTCTTGTTATTGACTTACTTATAGTTTTTGCATGTGAAATATAATTTTAAAGTATAGAAAAAAAAATCTCATTTAATCATAGTCATTTTTATATTTAAAATGACATTAGCATATAGGATAATCTCTTAAAGCAATGAGGTAATAGTTAAAGTCATCTATTATATCTTATACTCATCTTAGTATTTTCATTTAATAAGATTTTTTTATTTTTATATATTAACATGTACTTTCAATATAGTTTTTATAATGAAAATGTGTAAATTCACTTTAAATTCATATTATTTATATTATTTAGAAACAAATAGCATAATTTTTTATTAAATTTTAATTAATAAAAATAAGTTATAAAATATTTGGAACCATAAAATAATTGATGAATATTTTTTAATTAAATATTAATTAATAATATTTTTAAAATAGTAGATAAATTTGATTATTCTTTATTTTTCTTGTGTGTGATTATATTTAAAATATATGAGATAAAATAAAATTGAGGTGTATTATTGATCTCTCGTAGTTAGTTATTATTTGTTGTAACATTGTAACATTGTCTTAAAAACCACAAATGATTTGTTGTGCTGATTTGCTAGAGAGTAAGATTTCTTTATTGTAAATAACATTGTGTATTAATGTGGGAGGATGAGGATGGCAACATAACAATATTTAAAGGGAAATATGTAAAGGGCAATATTTCTTTTAAAATGGACATTTTCCATCCACTTTTAAAGAAATTTTAATTTTTCACCTTTGATGCTGCTAACTATGTGTTAATTTTTTTATTAAAAATCCTGTCAAATAATTGAAAACTTCTTTAATTTCAGTTTTTCTCAATGCTTACATTAATTGCAACCTTAATAGTAATGTTTGTTAACTATTGAGAAATGTCTCATAGAAAGTATATTGCACCTACAGAATAAGCTGTTGTATTATTTTCATCATTTATAATATAATATCAATGTTCTATTTTTATTAAGTATTGTAAGGTCCACTTTGACTAACAGGCAACCTTGGAGACACACAACTTGTTATTTGAAAATTTTGACATTCAATTTTTGGGTGGAAGCAAATAACTTGTGTATTATATGTGATCCAATGATATTCAGTTTTTGTTGTGATACAGTATAATTATTGTATAATTTAGTAGCAATCTTGATTATCAGGTATAATTAGAGGTTAACTAATTTGAATCTAATATGTCCAACTACTACTTGGTAATTTACAATATTTTTAGGTGCAAATTATACTATCAGCACATAATGGTTACATACAAGGCATCACATTAAACGATAACAATTCTGAGTTCAAGGCACAAAGTTGTGGAAACTCATGATATGGCCTCCATGGGCAGCTACCAACAGCAGCCAACCACTGAGCAATTTAATGATTCACTTGCTTCATATCTTATTTGGCTTATTTTGGCATGGCCAAATATCATCATCAACATATAATGTGTATTTGGTTTTGTGATGAAATCAATTGAAATGAAATTGTAGATTTGCAACAATATATATATATATATATATATATATATATTTAGAGAGAGAGAGAGAGAGAGAGAGAGAGAGAGCCAGTTTTTAAATTTATCTAAAAATAAAAAATGTCCCAGATTTAATGAGAAAAGGGATGTTTTGGTTTTGCTTTTGTACATTGTGATGAGTTTTTGTTTTTGTTCTTTAATTACTTATTTGTGCTAGACTCTTTTATGCATTGTATCTAATTACTTTTCATAATTTAAAACCATAATATCATACTTAAAGCTTATGAAATAAATTAATAAATTCAGCACACACACTTACTTAATGTGTGTATATATATATATATATATATATAAGTATACATTGTGAGTGAAGAGAACTCCAGGTTTCTGCATTGGTCTCACAGTTGTACACATCCTGTCATTATTCCCACACATGAAAACACACATGCACACAGTGGAGGACAGCCACACAGTCAGATGAACACATGGCTTTCACCTTTCACTCACACTCATTCTCATGGGAGTGCAACAAGTGCAGTCAAGTCAGCAATGGGCTGCAGTAAAGTCATAAAAAAAATAAAAAAATAAAACTAAAAAGAAAAACAAAAGGGGAAAGTTGAAGGGAAAGAGAGGGATGTGTGTGGTATCCACATACAAAACCCATGCAACTATCTGGATTTTCCTTGCCTACTCATTATAAGACCCTGTGAGCAAACACCCACATGACAATTACACCACTCCCACTTGCCAACTCTCATTCCACCCAGTGTGTTGCTCAAAGCAGGAGAATTCTAGCCAAGCCAAATTTTCATCCATCCTCCACTCATTACATACATTCATCTATTCATAGTTTGTTCTAATTAGGGAGAGCTCATGTGGGTCCTCCCGCGGTGATCAGCAAAAAGCTGCAGGCAGCATTCACAATATTAGGGCCCCGATTGCGGCAAATGTTGCCACGCGACTGTAATAAGGGAAACCCTCGCAGACGAGACGCGCCGGTGAAATCAGGACAAGTTTGGCTTCTGTCGCCGCTTTGGCCCACGACGTGTGTTGGTTCCGCCCTGTGACTGTGCAAGGAGCCAAGTCAAGTTGCAATTTAAGCCCTCTGGGTCGCACAAATATAGTTCGTCTCTCGCATCATGCTCTGTCATCGTGCTACAGATTGCCTCTTGCGCAAGCTTGCGGGTTTTAGCTTTACCACCCTGTGCGTTCATGTGAGTCTCCCGTCTGTGAAGGGCAACGGTGGTGTGGTTGAGGTGTGTGTATGGTTTTGTAATCGGTTAGTAAGAGGTTCCATTTGAGGGTTGTTCCGTTTGAGCTTACGCCTCCGATGTGTTAGCTTCTTGTGAAGCACGATGTGAATATTGTCTTGCGACACATTGATATGGTAGTATTGACCATCTAGGTGGCATGTAGCTCAATTAGGTGCGCTGTATTTCTGCATATTCTCGATTACATCGGCGAGGTTTAGTCTCGAAAGCTTTGCTTGCGGGTTTTTGTCGTGCTTTTGTGTGTTTCCACACATCCCTACTTCGAGCTCCAGGAGCATATCCACAGGTCGATCTGCTTTTGCGTCTTCTTTAGAGTCTACTTCAACCTTGTCAGTATTCTCGCATTGTATTGGTTCCGATTTCTGTTTTACGAGGAGGTGGGAAAGAACGATTTCTGTTCTAAGTCGATATTGTTTGAAACTAGCTGAGCGAGGTTTCACTGTATACCAAGTTTGGAAGCAGCTATACACTTGGACAAGTGGAAGAACTGCTTATTGTTTTGTTTTTTAATCAAATTCGGGACAGTCTCGATCTATATTATCAGATAATGGCAGTAATGTTGAGAACCGTTTCAAGTCTTGGTCGTCTTGCCTGCTCCACTGGTGCAGCTTGTAGAGTGTGGTGTGGAATTGAATCTACTTCACAGTTTTCGAAGCGTAAACACTCGCTATTCAAAGACCAAGAGCCATCATTCTCCAAGTCCAAGAATGCCGCTGGATTCCTACAATCAGTCGATCTGCCAGCTCTTTGTCAAGCTGCCGTAGCGATCCGCCCTCTTCCAACTCGACAAAGCGTGGAGATTTTGGAGCGTCGCATTGAAGTGGAGAAAAGCCCCGTAATTGAGATGCGTCCTGCTACGATCGACCAGCATGCAGAACCCTGTCCTCGCTCTTTCTTGGCTGAATCCGTGGACGGTAACCTCGTGGAGTGCAGCAGCAGAGGCAGCCGCCCCCTGTACACCAACGTGCTGTCTGAGTTTCAATTGAGATATACAGGATCTTGCCCTATGGAGATCTCTGCGCACGCGGATAATACAGCAGCGAAGATGGCTTTTGAGGCCGCGCTTGAAAACGATCCCAGTAACGCTCGAATTGTGTCGGAATTGGCAATGTTCACATGGAAGGCACTGGGAGAGGTGGATGCAGCGGAGGAGCTTTTCAACAAAGCCCTAGAGTTAGCGCCACATGATGCTGACATTCAGGCTAGCCATGCGCTCTTTCTATGGCAGTGTGATGAGTGAGTTGCTTTCATCCAGGTTTTCAATCATGGATCTCGATTGCGGGATGGGGACGTAAAGGAATGTGTCAAAGTAGGGTTTAGGTCGCATTTTATTCTGTTTATTATGTCTTTCAACCAGAGTTCCTTAGTAACTGGACTGACTCTTAGCCCAGAGAATTTCGTGATCCACCCCACTAACTTAAAATAACCGTATAGATTCCTTCTGGCTTGGTTAGCTCCCAAGGATGCCTAGATGATCATATGCTCTATAGAGAGGCGAGAATCGAAATGGGATCCAAGCACACACCTCAAGGCGGAGGTTTGCCTTCACCATGGGTCGTCCGAGGAGGTTTTGAACAAAGCTGACCAATTAACAGTCGACTTAAAAATCGTCGGCAATCGAATGCTCTCCTTGTAGCAGAGCGAGAAGTGACTCAAAAATGACAGCATCAGTATCCTGAGTGTAACATGTAAATGCAGGAAGGTTGGGGTTGAACTTGGCTGCTTTAGTTGGGGCTTAACTTCTCAGATGTACAGATTTTTTAAGATATTCAAGACCTAGGCGAGAAATACCTCGTAAATCATTTCGCAACGTGGATGCGGTGTAGATTTCTGATCAATACTTGGTGTTTTATGTTAGGGCGTGCTTGACTTTCTTTTGCCAAGGCTCAGATGCCAATGAATGTTTTACATACATTGTAAATTGAATTGACAGTTGTAGGGTCGAAACTCTTAAACTCTAGCACTGGAATTGACGACGGCACGGAAAGGTATCATTGCCACTCATATTTGGTCGAAACAGATCGACATTCAATATGTTCGGTAATCCGACATATCTCATTAGAGGACTGAGTATCAGCCTAGATCCTCAGTATTATCAAACTTGTTGCCATGTCTCAACAGCCAATAAATTTAACCATATCCTATCATCGTCACTGGATATTTGGCCATCGACTCGGACATTACTAAAATATTACGCAACCTTGCAGTCAAAGCTATGCAGGTACTTACAGAAGAAGATTATCATACTTCTCTCCACATTGAAAAGTATGTACAAATCATAGGCTGAGTGGATTGGCCGACGCTCGCCGCTGTTCCCCTAAAATGTGCACAATTATTCCAGCCCGACAACAGTCGGTGAAAAGGAAGGTATTATAGTCAAGGTGAACGTGGAATGACAGCCACTCACGAGTCTATTTGAAGGAATTCTGCCATTATTTTTCATTTGTCAACCACTTATTACTGTTAGATCTGTTACATGTTCTGATTGGCGCTTGCTGTAGAACTAGATATTCGGACGTGATCTGCCACAATTACACATTCTCCTTTTAAAATCGTGCATAGAGCAGTGATACATGAACAGCGAAAAATCGGGAGCATTGTTACAATATTCATAAAGTCTGCAGAGGAGTTTGTATGCACTACAAATTGCATAAAATTAAGTGCAAACACGGGTAAGCGGAAATGTAATAGTGTGTACACTGAGAAGAATCTCAAATAAAGAAAGCGTTGGCACTAATCGGAAGCAGTAGTAAAGAAAAATCAGATTTTGAAGCTCTCCGTGTCAACGAATTTAAACATTGATAGTGTAGTGGTTGAGGGTTCGGAAATTTGCACGACAAAAAACGAAGACTTAGAAGTGAAAAGGTCGTAGATGGCGACGGTAAACCTTCTCTTCAATCAACATGGCAATCCGGATGTTCATTTCAAAACTGTCAATTGATCGTGCAATGATTTAAGACAGATTTAACTGTACGAATAAAGTGGTCTACACAAGCCTTAAACGCATTTCTATTTGGACATCAAGTACAATTAGCCAATGCGGCGAGAGGATGGACATACCAATGACAAGAGGAGCCAAACAGATCTGATAACGCTGACGAACTCGTAAATGCTAAATGAACATACCATATTCTTCGATTGAATATCGTCAGTCACAGATGTACGATCTAAGAATCCTCTTCTGAGGAATGTTTGTCTAAGTAGTGGCCCCTATCTATGCTTCCCTGCGATATCAAGAAAGACTTACCAACAGGCTTCATCGAAAGAAGCACATTAAAGGTAGTCAAATTGGGATTAAAGGAAAAGCCACATTATCAAAAAAGCAAAATGAAACTCGACCTATGTTCAAATTACACGACTAGCGATCAATCTGTATCGACGTGGTCAAAGTACATTATAGGCCCTGTTCTAAATTCTCTTACAATTCACATTTCTTGAATATGTGCAGCAAGGAATGATTACCATTTAAATGAGCCAGTGAAATGCTTGATTGGACTCTGAAGTCTTCGAACTTTCATCATCGCTTCTTCATGCTGAGCTTCTCTCTCCGCAAGACGAATGCTCATGACAAAATACCGATCGCGAAGATCCTGCAACTCTCCCTCAAGTGACTTCACTTGAGCACGTAGTTTGGTGAGCTCCTCGTCTCCACTGGCAGCAGGTGCACCTGCAGCATCTTTAGACTCAGCGAAGGCAGTGTGGAGCTGTGATTTGTACAAGTTGTTCACCTCCATTGCCTCTGCAAGCTCGGTTTCCAGAGTCATGATCCTCTCCAGCATCTTGTTGCCGGATTCAGAGTCTCCATCTCCGGCCCTAGTTTCTAGTAATTGCTCGTTCAACTCTTGCAGATGCTGCACTTCTTTCTGGAGCATATCCTTAGTACTGAGCTGAAACTGTAGCTCCCGCTCTCTTTGGGAAAGCAAGGTATTATGCTTCTGCAGCCTGGTAAGCTCCATCTGAAGCTGCTCCATGCCAGAGTTCTCGCCACCAGCGAGCAGCTGCTCATTCGCAAGCTCAAGACGCTCAAGGCTCTCTAGCAAATTGTTCTTATCCTCTTCAAACTCACGCTTCAACGCCTCGTTTTCAAGCATGCTCTTCTTCAGTGCCGACTCGAGGTACGAGTTCTTCTCGAGCAAATCTGCATGCTCTCCAGGTGAAAATCGAGGAGACATTGGGGCCACGAAAGAAGTTCTTGCTCGGGGTAGCGGACTGGGAAGACCAGGCTTCATTTTAAGGTCCTCTCCAGCTACCAGCTTCTCACCCTCGCTTAGAAACTCAGGATCCAGAATGACGTCTCCCTTAGGTTTCTCCCAGTTACGAGATACAATCCTCAGCCTCGACTTGGGATTCTCAAACTCAGGTTCAGGCTCCCTCTGTTTCTGACATATCACTCGCTTGATCTCTCCATCTGGTGAATCCATAACACCGTCCTTGTCCACATTTGATGCAGATTCAAGTAAGACGTTACCCAGAAGAACATCATCTGTGTCCATGGTTCTGTTTACTGTCATTCCCCGAGCTTCCCGAGTTTATGCGTTGAAAGTTTCACGGATTTTACTCCAGAAACAACAGAGGCAATGTTACAAACCTGAAAACATAACAAAAAAGAACGGTGAGCACGGACCTTCATATTCAACGCATGAAGTACATTACTGAGGTAATGCTTTCCAGATCTGGCTAGCTTCAAATTTGGGTCAGGATAGAGATATCTTCTCAAACGGACAACAAGGTAGACTTGACGAGGAGGTATCACATAATAACGGAGGACTTCGGTGCAAATTCAAGTATACGATTAAATTAGATCCTAAAATAACGCCTTTAATCGCGTAGCTTCTAAGAACGGCGGGAAAACAGCAAGACCATAAACAGGATTGAGCAGCGAGGCCTAAAACGTGAAATTGCTTGCTGTTCTGACCATACGTCTAACTACAGGAGCAAAACATTTTCAAATACTTGCCTTTAAAATATAAGTGTCACACAAGATTGCTGTGAGAATGGAGCTTTAAAGTTGAATCAAAGGCGAACTAAGACTCAAACTGCCTGTTCCGCGGACCTCTACATCCACAGCTATGATCTCCGGGCTCAACGTCACTGGAAACAGCTCTAACTCTCAATCTGAACAAGAAAACTTTCATGTGAATCGAACGACAGAGCTTCTACCCCAAGCAGCGCCTCAGTTGAGAACAATCGAAACGAGAATGTGCAACACGGCGCTGACGGCAAATCACCTGACAAACACGAGGAGTCGGTTACCGTCACAGACAGCGGTCTGTAGCTAAGTCACGCCCACATTCCAATGAACACCGCGTGGTTGACAACAAACATACAGACCGAGACCTTTTGCAATACACGGTGCAGCTAAGACGCGCTCGTGAGTAGGACAAGGCAGTGTCGCACCGCTGAGCTCACACTCAACACCTACACCGCCCTCAAGATCGATCTCCAGTGGGAACCATCAGGCAGCCCGAAGGAAAACCCCTCTATATCCAAGAGCACATTCACGATCCCCGGTAGGGTGGGGAGCGTACACAAGCAGTACCGAGGCGATCCAAGAGGAGGATTCAGGCAGCTTGAGGCAGGGAAACAATCTCCCTGTCCCCCGATTACAAGCCCAGCCCCCCCACAAGCAAAGCTGTAACTGTAGCGCGCCGCCGTGTCCGAGTTTGATTTACCTATCTGACACTCCAAAGTTACCGATCTGACACCAACATGAACTGTCATCTTTTCACAACCCTGCCTTACTCCAACTCCTAAACCTGCACAAATCTACACAACCTCACACAAACCTACACAGACCCCACTCTGCAAACTTTCTTCAAAAACTTGCAACCAGCAACGATCATCCGTCTGAGCTCGCCTGCATTCGTTTCCCACCCACCACTTACGACAGTGAACACGTTAAAGAAGAGATTGTCTCCTTATCTTCTTTGATATTCGTTTCGAAATGTTTACTGCCAAGCCAATGAGAAAGCCCACAACAGAGTTCGAATCGGACGGTCAGCTGGCCGCGAAAATTTACCATCCGAGGGACTGCATCCAAAAGTTTCACCAATTACGCCACCATCACGGCAAAGGACATACAAATTTACGACAAATGGGACCACAGGCAAAGGCTTTTTTTCATTTAGTCCTTGCACCCCGAGATTTCACCTGGGGCTCCTTCCACAAACCCAGGAACATTACGACTTTGCGAACACGACAGGGACGCAACGGGAAACTGTTCGTGGTCTGGATTTGGAATTCTCGATCACCCTCGATCGAGCAGAGGGATGCGGCGAAGATTGCGAAGACAACCTAGCTGGAAATAGCATCCCGATTCCTTTTCATCTCCTGATCCAACCCCCGGGATCTGACTTCGCTTCGATCGACCGTTTGTTAAGAATTCTCGCGGAAACCCAGATGAATAACAATCTGCTCGATTGACGGGGGTGGTTGTGTTTGAATTTTTCTAATCCGGGTGACGAATTCGGAGCTTCTACGGAGAAAGCTTGTGCCCTGCCACACGGCACGGGCGAGCACGGTGGTTGGTGCATCCTCCCATTTCCGCTCCTTAACTCCACCCTATAATACCGCTGACACTATTCATATACGGATTCAATACCTGGTCCCATTGTCATTTGTATCCGGGTAGATAAAGGAATATCAAGGCGGGTATTGGAGGGGGGAGAGAGGATATTATGGTGGGTGGCTGTGGAAGTGTGGCTTCGAAAAGGGGGTTGAGCTAACTCAACACGTAATGATGGGAAACCCATTTGCAAATTTAAGAAGGACGTTTATATCGCAACGTTGTTCCCGACGTGCACTTGATGGGTACAGGGGAACGAACACACGTGCAGGGGAACCTGCGTTCTCTGTTTGTTCTCTCCCTCTCTGGGATTGTTTGGCGTTATTTTATTTTATTTTTGTCTCCTCCCTTTCCTTGCTTGCACAAATGTAATGCTCATTTTTAATAGCCTCTTAGGATTACTTGAATTATTTTTTTCCTATATTGAAAAAATAGTGAAAAAAATAAAAATATATTTCTACTTCTGTTTATTAATTGATAGATTCAATTGTATCATGGGGTAATGTCCGAACCTTGTTGCTATGTACCACCCCAATACTTTAATTAATACTTTTTAAAATATATTTTTATATATTTTAATTTTAAATAATTTAAAAATAATTTATAACCAAAAAAAACATTTATTCCTTTAAAACAAGACTTTAGACTTTCATACTTTACTTTTATAATGAAGAAATACAGATGTTGATTTCTCATGGTTATACCAAAGTATTTGAAGTTGAAAATGTGAAGTGTTTTTTTCTTTACACTATATCCACTTTGAGGCTTATATATCATATATTTATTAGAAAAATACTTATTCAATAATTAGAATTTCTATAAATTTAATGTAGAAGTTTTAATTTATTTTCACAAGATCTAAATTTTAAAATTTTAAAATGCTTATATTTTTACATTATATTAAATATATCTTATTCTTAGAAAAAAATATATTTTAAAGAATAATTTTTTATTCTAAAAAATAAATTATAATATCAAACACTTCAAATATAACATAAGTCTATAGAAGCAAGATATTTTTAAAAAGAAAAAGAAAATGAAGAAGTGCCTTCATTCAAAACACAATTGGTGGCCTCAAATATATGGAAAGAATTACTAAATAATAATAATAATAATAATAATCATAATGTTTCTAAAAATAACCCTTGTTAAATTTTTATGGAGAAACAATTTTTATGTAGAAACAAATTTTTATAGAGATTTTAACTCTCATATGCAATTATAATTATCTAAAAGAAACCTTGGGTTTTTAAAAAACAAATTATATCTTTATGTTTTGCAATGGTAGATTATTTAATCAGAACAAAACTCTTTTTATAAATACTAGTACAAGTCTTAGATTCTGATTTTTATCATTTCTTATTAAATGGTATATTTTATATCAAAAACTTGGATGATTTTTTTGTATATAATTTTAAAACACACACACACACACACACACACACACACACACATATATATATATATAAATAAAATCTTATAAATATTTTCATCTTTAAAAATATAGATATAGTAAGTAAATATTCACATTAAAAATGAAACAAAATAATCATTAGGATCTAAAACAACATACACAAACAATAGTGGTTTTACCAAGCTAATTACTAGAACCTCTAAAAATTCTAAAGATTGTCCAAAAAGTATATATGAAGTATTTGCCAAATAGACATATACTATGCTATAAGAAAAGAGAGCAACTTAATTATGTAGTAAGCACGCCCACTTCACTACATACATTAACTTAAGCAAAGTACAAGATTTTCTAAATAGTTTAAGAAATATTTGTAATAGCTTATTAAAAAAAATAAAAAAAATAAAAATTATTAGTATAAATATTTATTTAAACAAATATTTTATATAATTATAATTGCAAATTATACTTTAATACCTAGCATTTTTTAGATATTGAAAATTATGCCCACAAACTTTTATTAATATTATGAATGTGTATAATATTAAATTTATTAATAATATGTATACATAATTATAAATGCTTTTATCTTATTTTCTACTCTATATTTATTCTTAAATATTGTCAATTTTCTACATTTATAGCACTCGATTTTTATTATAATATGTCAAGTTCTAAATTTCAATTATAATTATTATTTTTTTATTTTTTAATAGCCTTTAATTTTTACAAATAATGCTTTAAAATATAAAGGCTTTGTATTTTAAAGCATTTTTTTTTAATAGCCTTCATTATTATTTTCTTACAAATAATGCTTTAAAATAAAAAGCCTCACAATAAGATCTCTTTTTCATCTTATGACATAAGAAAATAATATTTACACCTTTTAATTCTATTGTAAATTTTCTATATAATAGAGTAGTTTTTAGATATTAAAATAAAAGATGCAATGAAATGAATAGCAACAAAGATGTTTTATAGTAGTATGTTTTTATAAAAATGGTATATTTTATTTTATTCTTTTTTAATATAACAAAAAATATTATTTTTAGATAAGAAAGTTCATGAAAAATTAAAAAAATATAAATTATTCTAACAATAACTTATATTTAACTTCTTTATTCAATATATATAATTCTTTATGAGTTTCTTTAAAGATTAATAAGATATTGATAAAGACATCATATGTATATTTGTACTTGGTATTAGAACTTTCTAATTGATGAATTGTTTCTTTTGCATTCTTTTATTATTTGACAAGTATAGATTTTAAATATTACATTAGTATTTAATATATTTATATAGGTTATATTATATTATGAAAATAAGTTATAATATTATATATATTTATATATAAAATATTTTTATATTTTATTTTATAAAATATTATAATATTATATAAAGTTGGTAAATTAGTGGAATAATATTTCAATGTCATTTTTTGATTATCTCATTCTTTTTGAGATAAATTAATGTTCTTCCTTATTATTTATAATTTGCATCTATAATCCATTGATAAAAGTGTCATAAGTTGCTAGCTCTTCATTGCTACTTAGCTTATCATAAAGAATTACTATAATTTTTTTTAAAAAAATTCTTATCATTTATAATATATTAAAGTTTTTATATCCCTTTATTTTGCTTAAACTCATCTTGTAGAGAATGTTTACGATGTTAATAGCCAATATAATCATACATAGTTCATTTATGTATTCTAAAATAAGTTATTAAATTACTAATTATATTTTATCATATATTTACAAAATTTTGGTTTTAAATAGATATCTTTAATATCCTAAAAATATATAGTTTTAAAATTTTTGCTTCAAAAAAAATTTCAACTGTAAAATTTATGAAATTATTTGAATATTAATATTAATATTAATTATAAATTTATAAAAATATAAAATAGATTAATAGAAATCTTTTTGTATTTTGTGATGGTGCTTGAGGCAAAAATTATATAGCTTTGTTTTAAGATTTTACTAGTATTTTGAAAAATTAAAAAATCCATATTTATTAATGTATTAAATTATCTATAGTAGAAATTTATACTGCAAAATTGACTTTTATTTTTACTTCAGTTTATTTATGTAATATAGTAGATTTGGTTATCATGTAAATATAATTTTTCTAATCCTTATAACTCAGTGTATACCTTATTTGGTTGGCATATAGGATATTTTCAAAGAATCATTGAGAAATTTTGGCAAGTTTATTATTTAATTCAGTAGAATCACAATTATTTTAGATCTTAGTAAATTAATTGTATTATCTATTTATTTATATTTTAATGTGTTTTTATGATAATTTCCCAATAATTTATTCTGTGAATTTTTCATAGAAATTTCTTATCTTAATGCCTCTTATTTATTATAATATTAGATTATAACCATATTTTGATAGATACTTATAAAAAAGTCAAGTTTATAGAAAATTGCATTAATTCTTTTTAGTATGTAGGTTTGTAAGATGATACTTTAGAAAAATATTATTTATGCAATATTTGTTTTACAACTTAAACTAACATCTAAGATTTATATAATATCTATTATAATAACTATAGAACTTGGTGATTGTAGAAATTGATAATTTAAATTATATTATATTCTTGCTATTTTTATAAAGAATCTATTTCTATGCAATTGTAGAAGTAGATTGTATAAATTAGATTTGGCACTAAAGT